AAATGTTGATCAGCTAATACCGGTTTGATGGTGAGTACACGTGGTGCTTGTTTTTCCATTCTTGGGATACCTCGCTTAGTAGAATGTGTTCCAGCGCTCTCCAAGAGTATATAAGAGGTGCTATGTCACCATTGTTTCTTAAAAAATTATGTGTTTTAAATGGGACCTCGTGCCGGCCATCTGAGTTGCAAAACCAGATCTCTTACCCCTTGCCAATGCAGGGGACATCTCAAGCCTGTGACTGTCTCTTTCAGAGGAAGAGCGATTCCTTCCCGTGTCTGAACATGCGTCATCCTGGCTCCCGCCCCGGGTTTACCTCGTCTGGGCTGGAGGCCTGGTACACGCGGCAGGAGTCCTCGTACTGCTTCTCGGCCTCAGCCTGGTCGGTCACACCGTTGGACTCGTACACGGGAGTCACGTTGTGGCAGAGCGCGATGGCCTTCACCGCTTCGTGCACACGGCTGCTCATGGTCCGCCGGACCTTGGTGGTGAGCGTGGGGCCCTTCTGAGCCGGTGGGTCCTGGGATTGCTGCAGGAAGGAGATGAATAAGGAAGATGAGCAGAGAACGGAAGGGTCTGGAAGTGTGGAGGAAAAGCCGTGCAGTTACTGCTCTTCCTCCTGTTGCAACGCACGTAACTCGTAGGGTATCTGTATGACGCTGCAATAAAGGGCATGTAATTTTCAGGGTTCTGATCATTTATGCCTGTGGGGAATAAAGTAAAATAAAGACAGGAAAACAGTGCAAGTTAATGAATGAGAGTGATGCTACCTGTGGACAGAGTGCATCTGTCTTCCCTGGAGTGCTGTCAGGGCCCTCCGACAGGATGAGGACCCCACTGCCGGAAAGGGATCCTGGCATGTCAGAGCAGGGCCTCTGCACCTGGCCACTGCTGCGTTTTGGGGCAGGTCACTCTCTGCTGTGAGGGCCGTCCTGTGCACTGTCGGGCGTTTGGCAGTGTCTCTGGCCTCCAGCCACTAGATCCACGAGACACCAGCAGTACTACCCTAGTTGTGACAAGAGACGTTGCCAAGTGTCCCAGGGGCAAAATCATCCTCGGTTTAGAACCCCTGTTTTAAGTTTACAATCTCCTTGGTTTACAACAGAGGGCAACTGTTTCAACGGGTACCCTATGGGGGTAACAATCGTTAGTAACAAGCAACCCAGAGCAGGTCCAGCAAGACACACCAGCAACAGCCAGACCACGCCCTGGCTAGATGGAAGCCCCTGCAGAGTGGCCCCCGGCACTCAAGGTTGACTTTCAAGAATGACGTTAACTGTGTTCACTTTTTGCCTTCCATGCTGACTTCAAACCCCAGCTCTTGCCTAAGGAGCAGTTCCACCGCATACACGGTCCCTCGCCACCCTTCCTTCACCCGTCAACATGTGACTCAACCTCCAAAGGGCAAGCAACATGGTAAAAAGAGCACTGAAGGTTAGGAAATCTGAGCCTTATTCTTGGATGGGTTCTAAGCAGCTGTGTGACCTCAAGCGAGTTACATCTGCTCTCTGAGCCTCAGTTTCCTATAAGTGAGAGGAGTGGGCAAAAGGGGTGGTTTTCAACCCACGATCCACACCGCGTCCCAGGGATCCTGAAAAACCTGCTCAGCACAGCCAAGTGTGGCAGGATTGGGTCGGGGGCAGCTGTGGCGTCTCCCTATCTATGTGGTGTCTCCCTAGCTGGGGCCTCTCCCTATCTGTGGCACATATCAGGGGCCTCGTAGGCTGTCCTTTGAAGAAAGGGTTCTATGGCCTTGGAATATAATAAAAAATTAAGACCTCTTAAGGGGAAAAAACACTTGTTAACAGTCTATGGCTCAGTGTTCAACAAAATCCAGATGCCTTCCGACTGCCCAAGGGGCCCACCTGATGGGTACCTGCCCACCTCTCCAGCTTCCCCTCTTGCCATCGCCCTCCTCTTTCACCTGCTCTAGCCACCTGCTCTGGCCTTTCTGTTCCTTGAACACTGTCAAGCTCCTTCCTGCCTCAGGGCCTTTGCACTTGCTGTGCCCTCACCTGGAACGCCATCCCCTAGATCCCTGCAGGGCTGGCTTGCTCCATCTCATCATTCAGGTCCCAATTCAGATGCTACCTCCTCAAAGAGGCCTCCCCTGAACCCCCAGTTCAGGTTGCTCTGCCGGCCTTCCCCATTGCAAGTCATGCTGCCACGTCACCCTGAGCGTTCCTCTCCTCGCTATCCAAATCTGGCTGGTTTCCCTGGTGATTCTCTCTCCCATTTCAACACAGGAACAGAGAGAGCTTGTCTGAGTCACTCATCATTGTACTCCTAGTACTGGGGCAGTGCCCGGCATGCAATGAATAATTGCTGAACGAACGAACAAATTAATAACTTAATATCCCTGAGCCAGTGGTGGGAAGTCCTCAATGGACATGAATTTTATTTTTTCCATTTTCAAGAAGAAATAAATATCAAATTGACCACCTTCAGTTCTAGATTTTAAATCACAGATTTGGACAAAGGATCCCCTGTAACAGTCTTACTATTAATACCCCCGTAGCTAACTGAACCCTGGAAGCTAAAATGGAGTTACTGGATTCTACATTTCATTAAAAACATATTTATCCAACAGAAGAGATGCGATCTGATCCTTCAGAATGGGCCGTGTTTTACACCCATGACACACGGCTGCCCGAAATAGAGAACAGATGGGTTACAAGAAACAAGAAAATGACTTTCATTTAATTTTTTAATACTATTCTTAGTAGTGGCATTAGACTGCTCAGGTAATTAGACAATTACTAAATTATTCTGGTCACTGTGGGGACACACAGTGCTCTGGCTTCCTGCTCTGTTAACCTCTGGTGTCAAGAGCACACGAGTTTCACTTCCAGGCCAAAGGGCACTGCATGGTAACAATAATTAGAGTAATGAATCAGAACTCCGGTTTAAATGAATCATTATTTGCCAAGTGCTTTTAATTAGAAACAATTCAACTCTAAAATTATCAAGAAGATTGAAGATTTACAGAAAGGTTCTCTCTATTGGAGAGACTAAATCAAGAACCTTTTCTTTTTCAAGTTCTGTAATTTATGTTCTAGCTGCAAACATGTGTCTTCATTTTCACCCACAGTCCTCAGCACCTGGACCGAATGGTTATTTAACATCAGGGGCAGTAACAAGACCTTTGACAATGTAATTGCCATGGTCAGCAAGTTTCAGTAACAGTGGGTTTGAATGAAAAGCCAAGCGAAGGGAGGCATCCTACACAAACTCCCGGATTTTGTAACACCGTCTGATTTCACATCCACAGGAGTCAAATACTTCCACTAATATTTCCAATGTGGAACCACGCAGAGCTATGGGATTTTGTATTCCAGGTAAAACGATTCCCAAGGCAAAAAGAGAACCACAGACAGTCAGAGTTTTGTAAAGACCTCACTTTCAGATCACGGGACCAATGACAATCCATCCCAGGACGAGGATGACAGCCCCGACCAACAACACAGGCGACGGGCTTAATGTCTCTACATCCGTTTATTTCTCTCTTAAATGAATATGTGTCCCCCTTTCCTACTAAGACGTTTCAGGAAGGAGAGGGGATAATCATCGGTGCTGAAACTGCCTCCCTTAATTGTCAAATAAAAGGCTCACGCGCACACCAAACAGCAGCCCACACGTATCACAAAGGCGCTGAGACTCACTGCTGGCCTCGGTGGGGTGACGCCTAGTGTTGGACCCATCTCCAGACACCCTCGCATTCCCCATATGGAAGAGTTTCACATCGTACAGTGTTTATCTCTAACCTCCTCCCCATCGGCCCTTTAACCTACACACATTTCTTCTTACTTAAAAAATACCAGGGGAAAACAAAAACAGATGTGGTACCCACGGAGGCAGGTTATGACTCTCCATGCCCTGGGGGGAAGCCACTGGTCCTCTTGGGGAGGGAGGGAGGGCAGAACATGAGGTCAGAAGTGACTCTGTAACCCGGCACAGGTCAGTGTTGGGAGAGGAATAAAGATCCCCAAGTACGAAGGGCCCTGACTCGGGCCCCAGGTGGGCGTCTCGCATCGTGTAACGCGGCGGAGTCATCTACGGCACCCCAGCCAACGATCAAGACGCCGAGACTCATGAAAAATAAGCTTCCGTTTCTCATTAATGACCCCTGGCAGGGCCTTTCCCGACAAGAACTCCAGCCTGTATTACAGGAAAGATTAATACAAAAATTAAATGTCGAGTCACCAGGAATACCAATGTCCTTTCGGAACGCAGTTAAAACTTCCCCACATATGGGCATTCATCATATGAATGGATATTATGAATGGGCTGCTGTTGCTACAAATACACTATTACAGAGAAGGCGTTTCTGTTGTGATGGCCCCCCCCCCAAAAAGCGCAAAGTTGACGACTAATTAACCCCAAAGGGCCACCGCCACAGAGACAGGCTCAGAGCCACCACTTCCAAACAAATCATCTAAGTTGCAGGCTGATTAAGTGAGTGAATACCATGTTTACTATTTAATAGGAGACATCATCAGCATGACAAAGCCAACAAATTTCAATTTATCCAGATACCACAAGGGTTCTCAACCTGGATAATTCTGCTCCCCATTTGGTAACGTCTGGAGATTATTTCTAGTTGTCACATGGAGGTGGGGTGCGAACTGGCATCTGTGGGCATCCTACAATGCACAGGACGGCCCCCCACGACACAGAATGATCCAGCCCCGATATGTCAATAAGGGGAACCCCAATACGACGGCAGAAACCCTGATACGAACCCCTTGATACTCTAAATCCAGGGCCAGGATGAGGATGAGCGCCTGAGGCCAAACTGCGCTAGTGTAAGGTGGATCCTGCTTTCACTTAGAATTTCAATATTTTGCTCCTCACGGATTTTTTACATTAGATGTTTTAAAATATTGCATTAAAATATGATTTTCCTTGATTACTGAGCTCTTTTTGCAGCTCATTAAATCTGCTAGGTGAGTTCCTCACTTGCCTGACCCTGTCTGGGCCCTGTTATAAAACCATTAGACGTGAGCACTATCACAGACAGAAGTGAAAAGAAAGGTGGATAGTGTTGTTATCCCGGCGATAGTTCCTAACCAGGGAACCAGAATAACCAATAAAGATTTTTAAAGATATACATACCAGCGCCCTATACCCAAAGAATGCAGTAGGGCCCAGAAACACGTGTGTGTGTGTGTGTGTGTGTGTGTGTGTGTGTGTATAAAAATATAAATACAAAACTTTACAAGAAATTCTGGTGCTCAGCTCCAGTTAAAAAGAATCACAGGAATATGATGGCTTCTTGTTGAAAAGAATAAAAGAAACACACACAGAGAAATAAAGCACACGTGTCCAGACACACAAACGCAGAGCAAATGGTTTGGCATTTTAGGCACCCAGGTGTTAATGTTATTGCTGAGTGATGTGAATCCAGGTGATCTGGATGTTTTATCTTTGTGCTCATCTGTTACTTATTTCTTCTGCAGTAAAAAGCGTATCATAAAGAAATAGAGCTTTTTTAAATGAATAAAACACAAGTAGGCTCTGTGTCACAGAGAAACACACACAGACTAAAAAAAAAAATGCTTCCTCAAGAAAACGTAAATTGAACCTTCGCTATGTTTCCTGTGGATGCAGAACGTGAGAAGAATCCTGTCTGGCATGCAGTAAGTACTTACGGATTGAATGCATTGTGTATAGCAAAATAAACCACAAACTCACACGCTCCTTAAAAAACAAAAGCTCCATAAATTCCAATTCTCACAACAAATCCTAAAACATATCAGAGACAAAATGTTCAATGAAAAATGACAGTTCACAGACCAAGGTGTGTAGAATAATCCCAATTATGGTGTTTTAAATGTAAATTTTTAAAATATATGAATGTACAAAACAGGCTAAAAGAACACACAAAGCGGTATCACAAGGCTCCCATTTCCTGTAGTTGCTCATTTTTTTCTCAAATACATATTAATAAGAGTTAAACGAAGATATTCCCACCTGCTGGGGGGAGTAAAATAAAATAAACTACTACAAACACTAGGTAATACAGACCAGTTACTGTGAAATATTTTGGTCATATAATACATACTGGGAAAAATTTTGAGTACCTTCCATATGTATATACTTATCTTTGTATAAATAGTGTAGCGTACTACTGTGCATTATATAACAAGAGAAAAATAAAATTCTAAAATGATAAGATAAAAATGAAAAACAGTGTTTCTCATGCAATTAGCTAACATCTCAAAGTAACATATACTCAGGGTAGGGGACATTTAGAATTATAGATTTGAATTTAAATTTCAAATCATCATATCTGCCATCCGGCTATAATGAGGAATGAAGCATTTCCATGTGCTACAGCCTGAAAGGACCACAAAAATATGCTAAACGAACAACCAGACACAAAAGGCCACATATTGTTTGATTCCATTTATATGAAATGTCCAACAGGCAAATCCAGAGAGACGGAAAGTAGACTGGTGGCTGCCAGGGGCTGGGATGGAACAGGGAGATCAAGGGTTCAAGCAATGTGGCCTTTCTTTTGGGGTGACGAAAATATTCTGAAATTAGACAGCAGCAATGGTTGCATGGTGCTGTGAAAATACTAAAAAAAAGTTAATCATACATTTTAAAAGAGCAAATTTTATGGTTTTTGAATTATATCGTAATGTTTTTTAAAAGGCACCAAAATAAAATTAAATTAAAAAGGTACCAATAAATAAATAAGTCAGGGGAAAAATCATCACATCTCCTTAGCTTGTTATGGTTGTACCTCACAATGTACAGGCCATTTCTTATTGTTTACTCGGCCTTGTAGTAATAATCTGGAGTTTTCCTGCAAAAATCTTTTAAAACCACCTGCTCTCTTTATGAGGTTAGTGTAGTTAAATAATATCCTTAAAACAAGTCACCTGGACACTCATAAACCGCAATCTACATTTCAACACTGAAAATAAACAATCGTAGAATTCCAGCTCCTTCCGCAGGACACCTCAAGGCCCAGACCTGACAAACACCCGTCTGATATGGGAGGGAGGGTCCCTGGGTCAACCTCCATACTGTTAGTAATACTGAGATTTTGCATTAATTTTGGAGACGAAAATGAAATGTAAATAGACGCTCTAATCTTTTCTTCCCACACTCCGGTGGGTTATTTGCAAGCTCTGCCTTGGAATCCACAGATTTAGATACTGATGTTCTGAAAAAGAAGAATGAATAGCTTCACAGAAGCTGTTCTCGGACTCCGTTGTACTTTGGAATTGCTTGGTTCACCTGTTAAAACTGCAGCTCTGAGCAGGAACTCTCTGAGCTTCTGACTCTGACCCGAGTAAACTGGCCCAGGGGTTCCCAACACTGTCCTAGAAGAAACACTGTTGTAAAATCCCATTATTAAGCTCTAAAGGTCAGAGGAGCGACTGCAATGGACGAGGGGCTCTTTTTGGGGTGGTGGGCACACTCTAAGATCAGATAGCTGCGATGCTTCCAGAACTCTGCAAATTTACTAAAAGTCATTGAACTGTACATGTAACATGGCTGAATTTTATGGTACGCAAATTATACCTCAATAATGCTGTCAAAAAAAAAAAACATGGAAAAGGCTTCCTATGTCTCATCACAAAAGCATCACATCACATGCTACTGCAGGGTTTTTAGATGTCACAAGAGAAAGACACACACAGTGTCACTAAAGTGAGTCTGTACTACAATTCCGAGCTCACCCCAGCCTGGAGAAGACCGAACCCCGCAAGCCCGCGCTACGTTAGATTCAAGATCAGGATGGGCAAAACAATTTATGAGCTTCCACTAAGGCAGGAGTAGAGTTCATAGTAAGAAATGTCATTTTCTGACTTTTAACACTACAAAGGGTGTTATCTGCACTAAACCAAAAATGAACCATAAAAGCTGAAATAACAAATATCCTGAGATGGCTTCTGTAAATACCAGGGACTTGTAAAAATACCACCCAAGCGGGCCCGGGTGTGTCTCCTGCCGGGGTACACACCACCACCTATGAAGCTGTCTAATATAATCATCAACGTGTCCGCACGCCTGGGAAGGGTCTGAGAGTGAAACGGATACTTAGCCGGGTGTCGATGAGCACTTTAGTCCAAACGACGAGTCCCTCAGGAGGATCCCGGAAGACACATGGGGCTGGTGGCGCAGAGGGAAGAGTCTAACCCAAGACACATAAATGAGGCAGCTCACCCTGCGCTAAAGGCTGGAGTGAGTGGGAGCAGAGGCCGAACCACGGGAATTGGAGGGGACACGGGCTGGACCCCAGCTAGACCCCGCCGGGGAGCTGACAGTGTCAGGGGGCTGACAGTGTCAGGAGGAGAGCGGGAAGAGAAGCAGGGAAACCACCGTGCGGGCGGTCCCGGCGCACAGTCAGTCAACGGAGAGACTCGCTTCTGCCAAGTGAGTCAGAAGGGATGAAGACGAAAGGTGATGGGGCCATCGGGCGGGAGCAGGCACCGTGGAAGGGGCAGTGCCTGAGGCTGGCGTGAGGGGAAGCAACGGGGTGGGTGGAGACAGCACGTGCTGGGACAGGAGGGAGGTGCAGGGGAGGAGGGAAGAACGCTGGGAGGGACCCTGGGTCCTCATGAGCCGCACGCGGCAATGCCAGGTGTGCAGTGGTGCCAGGTGTGCGGGTGTATTACAGTCCAAAGGTCAGGGCCACGACAGAGATGAAGCCATCAGCACCTACAGGGTGATGGAAGCCGGGCGGGGCAGAGACGTGACGGGGCCGGGCACCGAGCCCCAGAGACACCAACCCGGGATCACCAGGCAGAGGAAGACGGTCGAGAGAGACGGAAAGGAAATGGGGACTGTGTGGCTTCCCCTCCCTGTCCAGTGAAGCGCGTCACGATCTGTCACTAGCCCTACGGCACGAGAAGGGTCCGTGGACCGGCCACGACGCCTACCCACAGCCCCAGAAGGACGAAAAGGGCTTCGTGGCTGTCTGTAGATGATGACATGAGCTGCATCAAATCAACCGTTTTCCATTCAAAATCCACCCCCACGGCCACACCAGCCCCCGCTCTGCCGTTTTCGGGAGAAAGCCTCGAAGTCATGTGTGCCTGCTCGTGAATGTTCCAGAAAATTAAATGTTGACTATAACCATGTCATAAAGTATTCAGGGATTTTGCCTTTAACCTTTATACAGAGATACTTCCTTCACATTTTTAACTGGCTTTCTGGCTGTGGAATTGTTATTTGACAAATTTAAGCAAATTATGGCCTTCCTTATTCTCCCATTATCTCCAAACGAGCGCCATAACGTGGAGCCATCCTGACGTGTCCCCCTCAGCCCGGGACGTGCCTCAGAATTACCAAGGGGTCTGTTCGTTCTCTCTCGTCTCACTCGTAAAACACAGAAGCCAGCCCTGCCCGTCTGAAAGAATCAGAATCTCTAGGGTATCAGGCCCAAGTAAATGTCCCTCGTGTTTATTCTGTTTTGTTTTGAAACCACCAGTAGTTCTGAGGAGCAGCTGAGGTGGAGACCCACCGGTCTAACCTTTTAGGGACATGAGGACACTGGCCGGTAACACCGTTCTCTGAAAAATGAGCCGACACATTGTAGTCATCTCTGAGAAATTAATTTCCTCCTCCTGATAGCTGAGTTGCACGGAGATGAGACGCTGTAGTTGGTCAGTGACACGTGATTATCGCACAAGTAGACCATTCTTTACTGCCATTCTGGCTCCCAGCCAGGGAAAAAGGAAAAATAAACACGTTCATAAACTCGAAGCATCCCCAACCATTAGGTTCTTTCTGGCACCAGTTATTAGACAAATCGTTCTCTCTTAGGTGTTTCCCAACGTCCATTTATTTGAACTTCAGTAAAGCAGATTAACCCTGGAGATAAGGAAGATGGGAAAAAACCCAACTGCAATTGTATTCGAAATATAAAGGATTAGTGGTTGCCACGGGTTTGGGAGGGAGGTGTTGGGAGGAAGGGGGAGCGACTGCTAAAGGGTAAAGGGTTTCTTTTTGGGGTGATGAACACAAAACTGATTGCGGTGATGGTTGTACAACTCTGTGAATATGGTAAATACCGATTGTACATTTAAAATGGGTGAATTGTATGGCATTGTCAATTATATCTCAATATAGTCGTTTAAAACACAGAAAGGGATTGTTTGGGGTGTTGAAGCAGAGGCCTTACCTGGGTGTAGATGCTGAAGATGTGGCTCTGCACTTCGTCCATCGAGTCGAGGCCGTAGGCCACTGTCCCCAGGTGGAGCCGTTTGAAAACCATCTCGTTCTGGGTGAGAGTGCCTAAAACACGAGACAAGTGGGTGACGCGCCTACATCCCAGGGTGTTGATTATTATCCATAGTAATGACAGCTGCCATTCGTGGAGAGTTTGCTATATGTGACACACTGGAGTCAGTACTGCCCCTGCTGGGGTAGGCATCTGTGGTGTTTCGCCTGCCTGGAGCCCTACTCCCCTTTTGAAAACGGCATCCTAGGTTTCCGTGGGAAATTGCCATGCCCGTTCCAGGGGTGGTCCAGGAGAAATGTCAATCAGGGTGCTTAACTCATTCCATTGGCCAAGAGGGTGCCACATGACATATACTAGGCCAATCAGATCCTATCTGGAAGGAACGGAACCTTGAGCAGAAAGACACAACCGCAACATCAGAGCCCTACAGAGACTGTCTCCGGGGTCCTGGTGCTGACTTGTCCAGAACTTTCCTGGCTCCTTTCCTTCCAGAAACCTCATTTTTCTCTTTTTTGGTGAGCTGTCCAGGGATCTCTGCGACAGTATCCCATCTGCCTCACGGTCACTAAATAGTAGAGCTGAAGCTTAAACAGATCTCCTCACTCCCAATCCTTACTCTTCACCACGACGGTAACCTCACAGCCTGATGGACGCTAAGTGGTGCGGCAGCATGGGGTGTGGCTGTGAGATCAGGACTCGAGGCCAGGCTGAGTTAAAGCCTGCTTCGGCCACTATGTCACTGTGACAAGTCACTTACTCTCTATGTGCTACATATCCTTATCTGCAAAGGGGACAGGAACACGACCTGACTCACAGGTTGGGGGGGACTGAATGAGTCACTGTATATAAACACCCCAGAACAGTGCTTTGCACACAATTAGTCCTGTTACATAAGGGTATGCTGCTGTTACCATCATCCTCGTCACCAAACAATCGAAGGGACTAAAATAGCAGCAGCATGCACCTCTCATACATCCAGAGGGAGAATCTAAGAGTTTTGGTCAAAGCCCTTGGGTACCTTCTCTCCCCTGGAATCCCAGGTAGGCCCCAGGAAGCAGCTCACCTGTCTTGTCTGTGAGTAAGTAAGAAATCCTGCCCAGCTGCTCGGGAATCGTGCTGGAACGAACCACAGTCCCAGGAATTTTCGAATCCCTTCGAATCACCCAGCTGTATACAATCTTGCCCATGTCCAGGTTCACGCGCAAACTAGTCAGAAAACCAGAGCAAACGGATTAATAGGACAGATGTCAAGTTTGTGTGTCTTTGTATAAGCAACATGGGTCTACATACATTTGTGCCATGGCATTCGGACTCACTCCCTAAGGAAGCTGGGGCTGAACCCACAGATTTAACATGAGCCTACACCACTATCAAATAAGGCACTAAAATCATTATTTTCCTGAAGCTCTTGTTATGGACTGAAGTCACTTAAAATATAGAAAGTGTAGTTGTTTCAATCTTACTTTAAAAAAATTTTTTTTCAATTTTTTTTTATAAATAAAATCTATTTATTCAGCCTCCAAATCAGGTAGGCAAACAATTGGCACGTGCCACCAAGCTTAGACTGCACATCCATGGCAGACATTGCTAATCAATCACAATATTCTGTCCTTCTGAGCCCAGACTCAAGCTCAGCATCCTTTTCAACACAGCACTCCCAACAGCCACCACCACCCTTGCAGAGCTTGCAGATGAGATGAACTCTAAAGGGCATCCCTAGCATGGACCAGTCAAGGCAAGCAAAGATCTTTTGAGCAGAGAGTGACTCAGGAAAGAATGGTTCGGAGGAGAGCATGCCTTTCTGATGCTGTAGCCACACTCCTGGCTCTGACTGTTCTTGGTGATCGCCCCACAAAGAGACTGGCTCCTTTTAAACCACAGAACCATGATCTCTGAAGGAGCAGAAGAAAATGTCATGGGGCCCTAACACAAGCTCGCCCCCTGCTTACCTGATGGGAATGATGTTGGAAAACAAGAGCAGGAAGCGAATGATCTGGAGGTACCAGCGACCGGCAAAGTGCTGGAGGGCGACCATGACCAACGAGACCACCACCAGAGCGCCGAAGAGGATCTTGGTGAGGCAGTTCACTTCCAGGTCAAACAGGCCGATCTGCGGGATGAAGGGAAGGGAGCGTGAGGTTACCTGGTGCACCCGCAGCCCACCTGGACAGCTGGGCCTTCACCCAGGTAAGATGGTGGGATCTCTCAATCCTCATCTCTCTGGTCTGAGAACACTGGGCCTCCATGGGCTGGAGTTCAAAACCGGCACCCAAGGGACTTCAGAGAATTCTGATTTCAAAATGTTGTTTGTAACCAAAGAACATTTAACCATAGAAGCCTATAACCAGGTTCCTGCTGGGCTGGCTGGTGCCATATGCTGCACGGCCTCTACCACCCGCCATGGTGGCCCCATAAGATGACTCGGGCCCTCCACTCTCAGCACCGTGCCACACACTAACTCAGTATTGCCACGCCACTGGCAGCACCTGGTTTTTAGGTACTTCATTAATGAACATTATTATTTTAATAACGACATTTATTTTCATGTATAGTCTAAAAAATGTGTAACTAGCACATCAAATCAATCACATCACAGAAATACGGCCCAGATGAGGCTAAACCCTCAAACAAGCATCGGTCCAGTTAGTAACGGTGGGGTGGACGTGATCGGAGTTTGGCAGTCACGCTTTCCTTCACGCTGTTGACAAAGGACATCATTCCGCAATGCTCTGACCCTTACAAGCTGGAGGAGGGCTGGGGCTGAGACGAGCAGGGGCAGAGGGCACTGGACAGACCGCAGGCCGCAGCCAGCCGCTCACGCGGGTCGGACCCAGGCTCTGCCCGTTCTGCGCTGGGCAGCCGGGGGAGAGCAGGGTGCCCTCGACGCCGTTTCTCACCTACGTGATGAATCGCCTGCGCTCACTGCGCCGTGGTGAGGGTGAAGTGAGACGCAGGTGAAGGCTGCTGCAGCATGACATGTGGCGCAGTTAAGCGCTCGTTCAGTGGTTTGCTCTAACTTACAAGCTTTAACAATTTTTATGTATTCATACACATGTGAGTACATATTTACGTATTGTATGTGTGTACGTGCGCATGTGTATATACATACGTGCACACATATGTGCGTGGAAAGATAATATGTTGGCATAAATAACACTGTCAGGGGTTCCTGTTTTTCAGTCTTGTTGCTCACCCCACCAACACCATCACCAACGCACAGCTGGCCGAGACGCCCCCGGACCTTCTACGCACCTTACTACGGGGATTTGAGGTATTCATGACGCTCCGGAGTTCTCTCCCGGTGTAAAGAACGACACCCACGACAGTACCTAAGATGAGAAAATGAGAAACAGGGAAGTATTAACACAGACAGGCAGGCTTACACGTAGAAGAGTCTGACCCACTTGAGGGAGAGTTTTCTAAATCCAACAGCCGTACCACGGGAATGTCAGAAATTTTACACTGGGGCCAACCAATAATCTCTGGCTACAGCAGGACAGCCACTAGGTCAGGTGAGCATTTAAATTTAAATTCAATTGAAATTAAATAAAATAGCCACATGGGGCTAGGGGCTGCCTCATGAGACAGCGAAGACACAGAGAGAGGATTCTCCTTACTGCGAAAGTTCTGCTGGTCAGTGCTGGTCTGTGGGGTCCGGCAGCTTCTAACAGCAGGAGAGTTGGGGGAGGAGAGCTTTGTCCTTTGTGCCACTGGCCTTAGAAGCTTCCAAAGGAGCCTAGAACATTCCTATCTTCATAAACTATTGTGGAAACTTACGAACACACTCTTCTTTTTAAAGCACATTCTTCCTGGTGAGCCTGACGCCTTTCAGACCCTGTCTCATGTGACCACTTCGGGGATGTCCGTCCAGATGACAGCTCTTTCCTAAGAACTTCCCTATCCTCTCCCAACCCCCGGGTGCAATACGGAAGAGCATCCATCCTTCTAAAATAAACAACTTATAGAAGAAATAAAAATGGCCAGTAAACACTAGAAAAGATGCTCAATCTAGTAAATGATCCAAACAATGCAAATAAACCATTTTTATCCTGATAAGATCAGCAAAATTTCAAAAGACTGAGAATGTTCGATGTTGGCCAAGAGGTGGGGAAACGGACCCTGTCACACACTGTCGGCTGAAGTGTAAATTGGGGAGAAATTTGGCAATATCTGTCAAAAATGTACCTGTCTCTCCTTTTCCGTGTGTGCCAAGAAAATGCTCAACACAGTGGGGAAGACGGACAAAAAAGAAGGAAACAAGAAAAAAACGTGGGCATTCGGGCGAGGGGGGGCTGTGAAGACTCCCGCGGGGGGAGGTTAGGGAGGGCGCAGTTTGCGCTGGGCGGACAGAGACGCTGTTTCAGTTCGTGTCATCTGAGCTGAAACTTGGAACATGAGAAGGAGCCAGCCCTGCCAAGCTCTCTGGGAAGATCCCAGAAATACAAACAATTTGGTCTCTGCAGGAAAAAGAAAACACTGACCCTCCTCTCCTCTCTCCCCCTCACTCTCAGGAATACCCCTGTCAGAGGGAGATACACGAATTCAAGGAGGTTCAAACACATCTGTGGGAAAAGAGCCCCACCCCAAACACAGAGCTGTGACTGGGGCTCCAGACAAAGAGCCCTGAAGGCACAGAGGGGGCGGCACTGAAGTCCCTCCCAAGTTTAAAGCGCTCAGCCGGACAAACAATGTCCTCCCGCACAATGCGCTTCCCTTCCGGAAAGCTCCCAGCAGATGGCAGGCCAGGGAGATGGCAGGCCCGGCAGCCGCAGCCGGTCCTCGGCAGATGGCAGGCCCCTGTGAACGCGGGCGCCCCTCCCTGCCGCTCCTGTCGCCAGAGCAGATGGTCGGACAGCAGGAGCCGAGCCTGGGCTGAGCTCGGATGGCCACACGGCCACGCTGTCCACTCCTGTGCAGACGCGGCTCTGCCTCAATCCGATGCCCAGGGTTAGAGAGGGCCCTGGTAATGAGGGGCACCCCAAAAGGAATGTCCCCAACCCCTTGATGCCATCAAACACTGCTGACAATGGCTTTTCCCGCCCAAGGCCTCCCCGTGCTCAGGACCAAAGCTCTGCCTCCACGGGAGTCCCTTCCACCTTCCCAGCCGGTGCCCGTCGGGTCTCTCAAACGAGCAGGATGGTCATGGTCAGGCATTTCACAGAGTTCTCACCAACTCTCCAGAGCAGTGTGAACCTGTCTGGGGTCAGGGCTACTCTGTGACCCCTTTGTTCCTCATCCACAACAAAATAACTGCTGAAACTGAGAATGGATGCTCAGGAACGTTTATAGCAATTAGACATCGCTGCAACGTTCAACCGTGTGATCAGAGGACGAAGCTCACTGAACGGGGTACAGACCAGCTGGGCAGTGTCACACCAGTGTGGCAAGGGGCACACGGTGTGGCTGCACACTGGCCATGCACAGAGGGAGGACCGCAAATCGATCAGCCACAGATTAGGGGGAAACCCAACAAATGGGCCCCTCCTCCCTGAGAGTTTGAGAAGAACTAGGGCTAGAACATGTGGGCCCTGTGACATCTGGGACACCTTCCCCGCCAAGCCCCAAGTCCCTTATCCACTGCTCCAGTAATGTCTCAGCCCGGCAGCAGTGTGTGGGTTACTATGGCAACCACATCCTCTACTGACTGGTGCCAGCTGATGCAGCTGGACCCTCGGCACCTGTTAACTTCAAGAGTTACCAATGAATTGACCGAGAGGCAGGCATTAGATTCTAAAGGGAACACGGGAGGGAAATCTCGCATAATTAAGATTACTCTTGCTGGCGGTTTCTTGAGTTGAGCACCAGAAAAAAATGGCTTATGTTTAACTCCATGTTTACATTAGAATCAGAGGGCAGTTAGATGTCTATTCAGTGAGATGCAGGGGAAACTGAGACCCATTAAGGAAACGGTCAATGCCAAAACATGTGCCTGCTGAGGGGCGTGGCAGGCAACGTCATCAGATCATCACTGAGCGCACTCGAGCTCATGCACGCTTGTGCACACATGCTCGCTCGCGCTCTCTCTCTCTCTCTCCCCCCGTCCCCCCACATAGTCAAGCACAAAGAGAGGAATTCAGACAAGGGAAAATGCATCTCTAACTCCACCATGCACTCCCATGAACTGTTAGAAATCTCTTCCACCTTCAAGATGCCAATTTGCCTCCCACTCTCTTCCTCCCAGGAGACGACCTCCCCAAGGCTGTGTGATCTCGGACAAGTTGCGTAACCTCTCTGAGACTCAGTTCCTCTTCTCATTAAATATCCTCATTCAATGTTATGAGACCAAAACAAGAGAATGGCAGCAAAACGCTTTGTAAATAAAAAGCGCCTGATGAATAAAGGACTCAGTTACTATTGTTAATCTCTGAGATTAAGACTGACAAGCCCTTTCAAGTCCCCCCACCTCGAATTCTCTGCATTGTCACCTAAATCCTTTTCCTTTTTACCGGTTTCAGAGGAAATACATAAGATTCTTTCCTATTTCCTACCATCTCTTCTGTAACCTGTCATAAACTGCTAGTAAACTATAAATCCCACAAGGGTGGGGACCACCATCTCCTGAGGCACTACTACAGCACTGGGACCTAGCAGTGGAGCCCAGCATATAGTAGGTGCTCAGTAAATGTTTGCTACACAGAAAGGCAGGCAGAAAATGAGAAGACAAGAAAATCACCAGAACGAAAACAAAACAGGCATATGAGAATGTATTAATTATGGAAATGTTAACAGTATCGAAATGAGTGCCTAGCCACACAAATCCACGCTCTTAGAAGTGAAGGTGGTGGTTGCCTTGGGTGAGGGTCAGGGAGAGTGGAAGGGAGTGGAGGGAGCTTCTGGGAGGCTGAGAATACCCTGCTTCTTGATCTGGGTGTTGGTCACATGGGGATGCTCCCTGTTTTAAAATCCATCAAGCACTATATTTAGGATTATGTACTTTTTTGTATATGCGCTATCCTTCAAGAAAAGGTTTAAAAAAGAAGAAATGCCTGTCTGCAAGAAATGAAGGACACACTGTTTGTGTGACTCTCTGGCAAGGAGATGGCCAAATCCCAGGCATCCACGAACTTCCAGCCCAGCTACGGCAGATGCAACACATCATGGCAATTTTAGCCTCATCTTGTTCTGATCTCTGTTAGTACCCGTCTGTTCCACCCCAGGAGACAGGCGTTTGGCACAGACGTCTCTATTCCAAAGTGCGTTGCTTTTCCTTTCACACTTCCGTTCCCCATGAGGCTGCCTGGGCACAAGTGTCCAGCCAAGGTGAGACCCCGCTGCTAGTAAGTTGTCCTAACTCGACTCCTTAAACCAATTATTTCAATATGAAATAACATAAACACTCCAAAAAATTTTGGTGTATATTTTTATAATTTTAGAGCAGGAAAAATTTTTCTTAGCCTGGCACAAAACCCAGAAACCATAAAGGAAAAAAGATCAATAGGTCCGATTAGATAAAAATTGAAAACTTCCGTGTCAAAATACAAATGAGAGCGAGTGACACAGTAATTGCAATTAAAGCAATAAAAATAAAGATAATATTCTCATCACATAAAGAGTTCTTAAAAATTACTTTTTTTAAATGAACCCATAAAACAGAAAAAATGGGGACAGGACATAAACTGGCAACTCACACACGTTTAAAAAAATACAAATAAACAGTAAACATAAAGGAAGAAGTTTAACTTCACAAATAATTTTTTAAAAGGCAAATCAGTATGTTAGATATTTATTCAATATGCATCACATGGGCAAAAATTAAGAAGTCAGAAGATGGTGCTGGCTACGGTGCACATAAAAGTTAACATTATCAGGAGTATGAATTAGAAGAGGAAAGTTTGCTGTGTGAATCAAAACATAAAATGCATATATTATTTGACATAGTAAACCTGTTTCTATGAAAATGCTGACAATATAAAAATTTAGAACTTCTATAATGCAAATAAACAAAGCCCATCACAGACAAAAACAAAAGACAAACAATAAACTGTGAAAAGATATTTACAACCCACAACGGATGAAAGTTTGATGTTCTTTCTTCTTTGAAGTTTTCTTACAAATTAGTAAGAAAAAGAAAAATCCAAAAGGAAAGTAGATAGACCAAAATACTAAGAATTGGCTTACAGGCAGAAAGATGTTTACCTGTATTTACAATTAAATCAAAACTAAAACGATGACAACATACCGTTTATCACCCAATGGGAGAAAGATAAAAATATTTTTCAACTCCTGTGTATCGAATATACAATGAAGTTAAAAAAAAAAAAAAAAAGGGCCAGGCGCGGTGGCTCACGCCTGTAATCCTAGCACTCTGGCAGGCCGAGGCGGGCGGATTGTTTGAGCTCAGGAGTTCGAGACCAACCTGAGCAAGAGCGAGACCCCCGTCTCTACTAAAAATAGAAAGAAATTAATCGGACAACTAAAAATATATAGAAAAAATTAGCAGGGCATGGTGGGACATGCCTGTAGTCCCAGCTACTCGGGAGGCTGAGGCAGTAGGATCACTTAAGTCCAGGAATTTGAGGTTGCTGTGAGCTAGGCCGACGCCACGGCACTCACTCTAGCCCGGGCAAAAGAGTGAGATTCTGTCTCAAAAAAAAAAAAAGTGACAAACTGGATGGGAGAAAATGATAGAAGGCATACTCATCAGAAATGAAAAACTCTTCCAAAGGAATACAAAACTGGTAAGAACTACAACAGAAAAATGAGTAAAGAACACAAACAAGTAATTGACAAAGGAAGAAACAAAATGGACCTCCCAGACAATCCAGGAAATGCAAACCGAACAAGATACTTATTTTTCAAATTATCAAAGAATAAAAAGCATAGTTGATTATTTGTTAGTACATGACTTAGAAGCAGAGAAAAATTGGTGAGGGAGAGTAACCCACTCAGAGAGCTTTGGGTGAACAAGCTGCATAGAAAGGCAGGATGTGAACCCCCGTGTGCCGCGTGCCCTGGGGGCGGTGGCCCTGCAGAATCTGAACGACCAGTTTTTTACTTCTTTAATCACCGGGGAACTGAGAGATGTTCCTGATACGATGTACACACAAGGCAGGCAGTGGAAAAGAAAAGTGGCAAAGAACCTCAAGGGAGAGCTAATCTCTGCCCGTTTGCATTAAGTCATGAGTCTGCTGCGAGTGGTAACCTAGGTGTGGCTTGTGCCGGCTCATTCCCTCCCCTTGTCTGCAAGACTCTGGTCAAGGGTCTGTTGTACTAAAGAGCCACAAGGAAGCATCCAGCAGAAGCACCCAGCTGGTGGTGAGGAGAGGGGAAGGTCATATTTGATGAGGGGAAAAAAATGGATTCCTCTAATAGTAAAGATAGAAAGTCACCAGTGGTGGGATCATAAGACAATACTAATCACACTATTATGTTAACAATATAATATTACATAATATAAGAAACTAATAGCTGCACAATTCTGCTTCTGGAGCAAAGTACCTGGGTTCAAGTTTCAACTCTTACCTACTGTGTGACCTCAGGGCAAGTTACTTAACCTCCCTGAGCCTCGGTTCCCTCATCTGCAGCATGGGCATACGAGCAGTGCCGGCCCTCACACCGCCTGACACGCTGGCTGCACGCCGCCAACATTAACCACTGTAATTTTCGCTCAACCTCAGCCTCTGGAATCTTCGACTTGGCATCATCCCAGCATCCAAAGTTGAAAGGCATCAATTTCCACTTCATCTTGGTGTTTAAACACTGGGGCTCCCCCTCGGGCCCACACCCTTCCCCGTGCCCAGGGGCCCCCGTACTGGCAGTACCTGCGTAGGAGCCCCCATGCACCCAACTTCCGGCCAGACCTTGCAGGCCGGCTCAGTCTCTGGCACAGATTAGAACGTCAATCTCCAGTGGCAATTAGAGCTATTCCCAGAGTGGACGGCACAGAAAGGTCCACAGGCCACACCAGCTTCTCCCCCAGACATCTCTAAGTGTCCGAGCCGCAATTAGATGTCAGTTTAATTCCCCGGAGGTACCGGAACAAGTGGAAAATGCCATTGGACCAAGGACTAATTTTCCCAACTGACAGATGATTATTCTAATTACAAAAGGATTTTCTTTCCTTTTCAAATTGCTACCACATTCCTCGGAAAGGCGCCTCACCTGACGCGACGACAGTGCCGGCCCACAGCGTGTTCTCAATGCTCAAGCTCTCGCTGATCGGAGGGTCGCTGTCTTCCTGGAAAAGACCAGACAGGCCAGAATCCACAGGCTGCCTCCAGCCTGCTCTGCCCAAAGCAGAAAGAGAAGGACTCTACCCGATGAAACTGGGGGCCCCGGTTTGGAAGCCCACAGCTCCGCCAGGAGAGGAGGGCCAGGCTCATCAACCACCATCCTTGGAGTTTTCTTCCCCCACAGAAACACATTAAAAAATTGGCTCGTGATCTAAGAAATGCACATCTCCAACGCTGAGAAAATGTTTTACAAGGTAAGAACCAAAATGTGGAAGCAAACCAATGAGGCACTTTGCTGGCCAGGTTATGGCTTATAGAAAGAGAACATGGATAATTTAATTTGGGTTCTAAAAATCTATGTGCCATATTCCTAAAGTAATTTAAGTCCAAATTAAATTTCTATTCTGAAAGGTCTGGAAGTGGCTTAAAAATTATAAAAATGGTGGGTAGGATTTGTACAAATAAAAGAAGACATGGACCCATCTGAAAGAGAGAGACAGTAACTGCTTTCAGCCATCAGAGTTAACATTAATTACAGCAATGCCTGGCTCTAAGCAGTCAGGTAATTCAAGCTGTTCCAAGGCTGGCAGAACATTCCAGTTGTGTTGACCTTACTGAGAGACGATGTCGGCTTTCAAGGTGGGGAAATCTCATCATTCCCGACCTGGCATAAAACTACTCCCTAACAAAGAACGGTCAACACTTCTTCCAAAGCCATCATCGCCCACACACGCTCTCGGACGATGCTACGCTAAGGGGAGCTCACTTACCCTGGTAAAAGTTCCCAGAAAGTTGTGAATGTCAATACTCGGCTCCTCCGCATACACATGTGATCGAATCTGAAGAAGATCCTGGTCAACAGAGGTCACATTTCAGAGTTAAAACAAAGTCAGTTCATAGTTCGAGACTTTAAGAGGCATCACTGTTTTTCAAAAGCTACTGTATTTCGCAAACGGGCTCTCAAGGTTATAGGGCAGGTGGAAAGAAGAGGAAAATCCTCCCCTAAGTAAGTTCACGAGTTGCTCCACACACCATCCCAAGACACCAAGAGATCCTACACTGAAGACAGCTGTTTATCTGTGTTTACCCGGCATTTTCCAAGCTTGATGGTACGGGGGATGCAGCTACTAATACCTTGAAGTGGGCAGATCCCCTCTGCTAAACTCTGGCTACAAGACTTGCTCATACCAATGAAAATAGCCGTTCAACAAATGGCTATGGGGCATCTGCTCCGTACAAACCCCTGGGAGGGGCTAAAAAAGCAAGTAAGAACACCACACACCCATCGGGATGGCTACTACCAGAAAAACCAGAAAACAACAATGTGGTGAAGATGTGGAGAAATTGGAGCCCTTATACGTCATTGGTGGGGATGTAAAATGGTGCAGCCCCAGTGGCCAACGGCATGGACTTCCTCAAAAATTTAAACATGGAATTACCATACGATCCACCAATTCTACGTCTGGGCACGTATCCAAGAGAAGAAACCCAAGCAAGGGATGAAGAGACACACAAAATATAGTCTATACGTATAATGAAATATGATCCACCCTTAAAAAGGAAGGAAATTAGGACATCGGTACAACATGGATAAACCCCGGGGACATTATGCTAAGTGAAATAAGCCAGTCGCAAAAGGACAAATACTGTGTGAGTGCACTTATATGAGGTACGTACAGTACTTTAACTCATAGAGACAGAAAATAGAAAGGGGGCTGCGGGGGTCGCTGGGAGGGGAAATGGAGAGTTATTGTTTAACGGGTGCAGAGTTCCAGTTCCGCAAGATGAAAAGGATTCTGGAGATGGGGATGATGGTGATGGCTGCACGACGATGTGAATGTACTTAATGCCACTGAACTAACACTTAAAAATGGTTAAGATGGAAAATTTTATGTTACATGTATTTTACCACAACTTTTTTTAAAAAAGCAAACCAGCATCCCACCTTAGACAGGTGACAGAGAGTGCAGAAGTGAAACACCTTGGCAAAAACTACATCTCAAAGCAGGGTATGGGAAGTGGCACAAGACAGGTGAGTCCGAGGGAGTGACAGTCACTTCAAGAACAAAGAACACAGGAAGTGGACGGGGAGCTGGGCAACAGGAAGGGAGTGCAGGGGAGGGGACAGGAGGGAAGCCCAGGAGGAGGAAGGGAAAGGCGAAACACCCGTGGGAATGTAAACAGAGCCCAGAAGCAGAAAGCCTCTGGGAGAGGGGACAGCGAACAATTCTAGGCTGGCACAGAGTTCCCGACAGGAAATGGCAGGGTGGGGACCCAGACTGGGCAGCAAGTTCAAGGCCAAGCTAAAAACGTTTTATTATGCCACGTGTACACACACACCCGCACACGTACGTATGGCATGACGACGGGATTTATCTGAAGTTCGTTTTTCTCAATGGCTCTTGCTACCTAACAGGAAGGTACTTTGCTGTGAGGGCTCTTAGGTTCCGAGGGCTGTGATCACCTGCTGGTCGAAGATGAGACTTTGCACAAACAGAGCCAAGAGCAAACCCCAGCTCCCACGTGCCAGCCATGTGAATTTGGAGAAATAGCAGGTTCCGTGCCTGCCACGTGGTGGGACACAGCTGCCATCATCATCAGCAACATCCACAGCAGGACGTGTGTTTAACCAGGGAACTCTGAAGCCATTCCTGCTGTCAGTGTACCCAACTCTCTCCTGGCATTTATTTATTGTCTCTGTTTCTTCTCCTCCTCTTCTTGATTCTTCTTACTTTCTCTTCATTTTAACAAAATTCTTTCAAAACCAGCATTGCTGATCTTGACGACGTGGCCCAGGGGAGCCCATGACTCTTACAGGCAGAGGGCAGCCTGGCCCTTAAAGGAGCCAGTGGAGCTAGAAGCGGTTATCTCTCGTCTAAAACCTGCAGCTCCTGCCGGCAGCCCATTCTGGCACGTCCCCAGCCCTACCATTCACAAGTTTCTTTTCACCTCGCCTTCCCGTGACCTTTGCATGGGAAATAAGAGTAGTTTATAGAAAAAGGAGAAGCAAAGGTTTTCTTACTAGATAAATCTTACTGTATAATCAAGATGCCTGATTATAAAGTGCCAGAGAAACCTAACATTTCCATAAATATTAAAAGATGGAAAATGGATACAGTGTGACATCCACATCTTGGAATGTTACGCAGATGCAAAACAGAATGAGAGTGTGCTTTGAATTTTTAATGAACTACCAACATTTAAAATTTGACTTCGCATGAAAATCTGAACTTCTGGGTTCTATTTCAAAAACAATCAGGGAGTCAGGTAAACTCAGGCCAACACCACCACCTGGAAACAAAGTTCTGGAGTTGAGTAGAGGCTGCTGGCCACCTCCTCAGACAGAGCTTGTGCTCCTGACAGCTAACTAGGCAGCACGGCGTGCAGACAGGTTTGCACTGTGGCCTCTGTGTGCTCCTAAGACCCGTAGACACATTAAACGTGGGGGGGAAAAATGTTGCAGAACAACAAATACAGTCTGATGCCATTTATGTAAAACCACAACCCACAAACAAGTCTACGTTTGTATATTTGTAACTACACTGAGAAAGATCTGGAAAGACCACTACCAACTTTATATAATTGCCTCTGGGAAGAAGGTAAGATTTGGGGTCGAGGCCGCAGGCAAGACTTCCACTTTTTCTTCCACAGCTTTTCATGTGGTTTAAGGCTTTTTTAACAAGAATATATTTGTGTATTCATCAGGGAATCTTTTCATATAATTCCTGTAACCTAAAATTTTGTTAAAATGCTGCTCCCCGGTCAGACCCCCTTAACCCCACGGAGGCCGAGAGTTCCCTGACAACAGAGGTGGTGGTATCTCCTCTTTCTCTGAATCCCAGCCCAGGCCTGGACGAGACCAGAGGCAAAGTGAGCATTTATCAAACTAACTGGGTGGCGCTTCCAAAGCACACACCGAAAAATGCAGCTCTGTGCTGTGGAATATGCCAGCATCTTCACGTCCAGGCCCTTCCACGCTGTCTCTGGAAGAGATTCTTCAAATGATTTTGAGGATCAGAATCCTGTCTTTGGAGAACTCTTACCAGGAAGTAAAACATGTCCCCCAGGTAAAATCAAAGCCCCGGAGCCAGGTCAGCGCCTGACGGTGCCTTCTGAAACTTCCCAGGGGCTCCCGAACCGCAGGTAGAAACCTGCCGCTCTAGAATTCCTGGTTTAAAAATTAACAGGAATAATGGTGCCATTTCACTTTTTATTAGCCATGAAAAATCATGAGCCCTGTGATCACATTTATTATGACGTCAACTCCGCCAAGACACGGAAGGTTCGCCCGCCTGCTCCTTCCTCAGGGAACACGGTAGGGAGCAGCCGCAGTCCATGTGAGACGAGCACAGGCGATGCTTCCGTGTTCCAGTTAATCCCTCCAGACCCCAGCAGGGCACGCCAGTCTCTGAGCATTTACATCTGGCCAGCTACCGCGGCCATCCTCTCAGACAGGACCTGCGCCCTGTCGTACACACCGGGCATGTCGCAGAGAACACGACAGGCGGCACCCACTCGCAGGGACGATCCCTTGAGTGGAGTGGCGTGGGGAGGAAAGGAGGCGGTAGTCAGAAAATGCCTCTCTGCTAAGGGGATTGGGGAAAAAAGCGAAGTGCTGGAGATACCCAGCCAGGCAGACATCAGGGTCACAGGGGTCCCAGTGGAGCAAAGGACATGGGCAAATACCCGGAGGCAGAAGCATGCCCGCCACAGAGGCTGGTGGGCAGAGGGCCAGAGGCTGAGGTCCAAGTGTCAGCAGAGACAGACTTTTTAGGGCTGAAGATGACAGCTGGCACCGAAGAACTGATTCTCAGGAAGATGAGAAGAAGCCTTTGGAGGGTTTTTATTTTAGAGATGGGGATCTTGCCATGTTGCCCAGGCTAGAGCGAGCACAGTGGCTATTCACAGGCATGATCATAGCTCACTGTAGCCTTGAACTCCTGGCCTCAAACAATCCTCCCGCCTCGGCCACCTGAGTAGCTGGGACTACAGGCTCAAATCACTGCACCTGGCTTGCCTTTCAGATTTTTGTTTTTGTTTTTTTTTTTAAATAAAGAAAAAGAATTTATCTCTCATGGTTCTAGAGGCTGGAAAGTCCAAGAACACGGCACTGCCCTCTGGTGATGGCCTTCATGCTGTGTCGTCCCACAGCAGAGGGCAGAGGGGCAAGAGAGGGCTAGAGCTCGTGAGACAGAGGGGGCCAGATCTGCTGTTATAACAAACCCACTCTCGTGAAAACTGACTCCAGCAATAAAGACATTCACCTATTTATAAGGACAGAACTCTCATGACCTAATCACCTCTAGTTAGGCCCCGCCCCCAACATTGTTCATTAGAGGTCAAGTTTTCAACATACGAACACCGGTGGACACAATCAAACAGAACATTCCAGCCCTGGCCCCCAACATTCATATTCTTCTCTTTTTTAAATTTTATTTCAAAATATTCAGGGGCTACCAATGTTTCAGGTTACATGGATCATTTCTGTAATGCTTGAGTCCTGGCTATAGTTGTGCCCCTCACCCAAATAGTGTTCACAGTACCCATTAGGTTGGTTCCCCCCCCCGCCGTTGGCGATTTTGAGCAGAGAAGTGACACACTCTGGCTTACCTTTTAAATTTTTGCAAGGTACCTTGGCAAGGCCTCTTACGGTTTTGAGCTTCCCTCTAAAGAGTTCGGTCCCTGCACGCAGGGCCCGTGTTTGGCCCGGCCGCACTAGGGCAGGCCAGCAAGTCCCGAGGCTCTCCAGGACCCCACGCACCCCCACAGCCCCTCTGCACAGTTGACAACCCAGGTCTGGCCCCCGAGTTTGAGAGCCCTGCTAGGACAGGTTGCCAGCGTGTGCTTCTGCAGGGAAAGCTACTCACGGCGGCCGTGGGCAGCCTCTGCGTGCAGGCCACGGGAAGCCGTAGCTTCCAGTCTGTCTCCCCATCCAGTTGATCCGTCCGCAAGAAGCAAGACCCTGTGGAAGGAAGTCGGGTACCATCTGGTCACCTGCGCTTCAAGGATCCTTAGCTTGCAGCTCTGGGCAGTGCCTGCGCTGGTCCTTGTAAAACAGCCAATCAATGGCCAGCGACCACATGGGGAAATAAATGCACTATTTCCCCCTTCTCCATGAGCTCTGAGGTCAGAAAGATCTGAGTTTGAATCCTCCTCCACCATTTGCTCACAGTGGGATCCTGGGCTAGTTGACCTAGCCAACCACAGTGTGTCCTCGTTTGTAAAACGTGGAGAAACGCAGACCTCACAGGCTTGCTGTGAGAATTCAGCGGGGTGAGAGAACTGTGGCCAGCACAGGGTGACCAGCATTCAGAGCTGTCTGGCCTGGGGTCACCAGCACCTTGTCATGACACAGACCCCTTGGGCTTGGGTGCAGGCTCTGCCTCTTACTAGTTCCACGCCCTAGACAGCGATCCACCTCGAGCCTTAGTTTCCTCATGTATAAAAATGGAGACGGCGAGAGCACTGGCCCCACAGCGACGCTGTGAGGATTAAAGAGCGCATCCACACGAAGTGCTCGGAACAGAGCTGACGCACGGAAAGTACCAGTCGGTGTCTGCTGTTGGCACGGGTTTGCGTATCTTATAGGCATATATTTCAGTGGGACATACAACTCCGTGCAATCAGCTGTACATTTCACCAGATAGAAAACGTATCCGATTCACCGACACCGCAGTTAAGACTTCTGAGAACTAGGAAGGTAGAATACTCATCATTTTTTTTTTTTTTTTTTTTTTTTTTTGAGACAGAGTCTCACTGTGTTGCCCAGGCTAGAATGCCGTGGCGTCATCCTAGCTCACAGCAACCTCAAACTCCTGGGCTCAAGCGATCCTCCTGCCTCAGCCTCCCGAGTAGCTGGGACTACAGGCATGTGCCACCATACCCGGCTAATTTTTTCTATCTATATATATTTTTTTTTAGTTGTCCAGATCATTTCTTTCTATTTTTTAGTAGAGACGGGGTCTCGCTCTTGCTCAGGCTGGTCTCGAACTCCTGAGCTCAAGTGATCCTCCCGCCTCGGCCTCCCAGAGTGCTGGGATTACAGGCATGAGCCACCGCACCCGTCCTAGTACAAAATTTTATTTGTACTTTCATTCCATTCAGAATGAAACAGGTCACGGCAACCTCAAAGGAATCTGAATGCAAATTTTGCAGATGTTCAAAAATCTCTGATGGTGCCAGATAGGCAAGACAAAAAACAGCCTTATTTCCTCAGAACAACTCAAATAACAAAAAATAAAAACGAAGGTGATTTTGAGTCGAGTGACAGGGCGGGTGGGCGATGGCGAGAGCCACCTCGGCAAGTGACTGCAACAAGTAAGGGCTCTGTAAGGGGCTTGGGAGATTCGCGCCAGCAAACTCGGCTGTAACAAGAAATAAATCCACGAGTGCGCGAGCGTGGCCCCACCACTGGTGAGCAAACGTCAGAAAAGGCGCCAATCTCGCCCCAGTTTCTGTCGTGTCCTATCTCCTGACACATCCCCTGGTGTCGCCTCTGTTTGCTTCTACTTGTTAGAGACACTTCCTCGTCCCACCAACTCCTGAAGCCGAGCCTACCGCGGCCCAGAGAGGAAAACCAGGAAAACCGAGGCCGCCACACGTGGCCTTCACCAGCGACAAGTCAGCCTCTGTCCGACTAACTGTATCTTTCTGATGATCAAATTCTACCGACCTGCAAGCACCAAAAAACACTTTTTTAAAAGACGGGTCTATTAAAAAAAAATGTTTTTGATTTGCCTCCATGGCTCCAAAATGATAATCTACTTCTGTTACATTTTCAAATGATTATTTTGCCAAATTACCACTGAAAGGTTAATGGTTATTTTCCAAATTGATCTCAGATGTTTACCGTTTTTTTCTGATGTCCTCAGGAAGATCATGTCAGCAGGGACCCGCTGGTTCTGTGTTATGAAAAGAAGGACTGTTACCGTGAGTGCCCCTGTTCGGGGTTTCCGCCCCCACCCCCAAGCCCTCAGTGGGGAGGGGAGCGGCCGAAACCCGCAGCCTCTGTTAAGTTTCTGCCTTCGTCAAGGATAGATTTGGGGATTTATTGTGCTTTGGATCTGAAAAATCCTGCACACTGCTGTTATTTCACTCATCCCCTATCGAAATCTTATCTCGGAAAGAAAACGTCCAGTTTTCTGGCGAATCCAACCGTTACCTCTTGAAATTCCAGCCCGAGGACACAGGCCTCTGCCTCCCTGGCTGGCTGTCTTCCAGGCTGCCTGCTGATATTTGAGACAGACCCTCTGCTCACACGTTCTACTTCTACCAATTTTTCAGCTGGATGTTTGGCTTTTAGTGGGATTTTAATAAGCAAGTAAGAAGCAGCAAAAGCCATCCTTAAAAAGAGAGAGAAGCCACAAGCAGCCCCCGTTTAATTATGAACAGAAAAGTATGTGATAACATACAGGGGCGTGTGCGGCTCTTCCAAGCTGCCACCCAAAAGAGTTTCACTTTACTCAAATCAACTTTGAGTCCTTGGATTTAATCCTTTTAAAAGATCATAGTTTAATTCCTACAGAAACAAGTTAAGACATAATCCCTTTCTAATCAAATATTACTCTAAAACTCTCCAGGGCTACCCCCCAAATCCAGTGCATTCCAAACACACACAGGAAAAAGAGAGATGAGTGTTTGCTGAAGTAACAAACATGTTAACACAGCTATTTTTAAAAATGCATCTTGGACCTTTTTACTGTTCTCATGTTACACTTAACCTGTCGCTCCCCATAAAATGGTAGACAAGCACAATGGTTAAGTCAGAACATGCAAGCTCAAATTGCTTAAAAGGTAAATGAGATAAATATTTTTAAGTGTCTATGTAGCAAGCAGATTTCTAGGACAGATTTTATTATACCTTTTTTTTTTTTAAATCTCCAAACAATAAACACATCGAACAGGATATCAAAACTTGTACTTGTGCTTGTAAGCAGAAATTCTGGCTAACCAATACACACAAACCTTGAAAAAATATTTGGGAGTGTGTGTGCGTGTGTGTATCTCACAGGAAAGAGATTTTTCTCCCCAGGCGAAGTTCTTGGACAGAGTCCCAAAATGCATCATTCAATTTGTCTACCAGATACACAAAGGACACGGAGTGGTGGCAAAGACTTCCTGTTCCCGCACTCGTTAACAGGCTTCCCGACTCCACTCACCTTTTCAACGATGATAAGATCCCCAACTTGGATGCTGGAACTCTTCACCTTCACTGTGCCTGCAAAGCAACAGGTTCCAGATACGTCACTATCTTACTTCATTTCGATCCAGCATGTCTATATACAGTATCCAGCTCACGACGCCAACTCCGTGCAGCCAGAAGTACACGCCCACCCGCCACCGGCCCGGCACCATTATCTTCCGCCTCTCTAAGAAAAGCTTCACCTGCTGCAGTGACTGCTCCAAAAATTAAATCTCCACTTCCTAGGGTACCAGACTAGCTCATGCCCTTAAACAATGATCATGTCTTAACAGTGACTTGGAAGCTTTTCTCAATCAGCATTGTAAGAGATCTCATTCAGGGGGTGGGGAGGAGGGAACACACATACAGAAATGGGGAAGAAAAGTTGAGAGTCAGACCTATGGAAAAAAAGTCAACTCTTAATTTTCAACCCCGCCAAAAATAAAGACGCTGATCAAAATGACTGATTTACTTTTTAACCTACAATTTTTATATAGTTTGGTTTATATGGCTATGATCAGACTATATAATTTTCACTGGATGCTTACCTAGATAAACCATCAAAGCTAACATTAAACACTAATTCCTTACTAGGCGCTGTACAGATACTGGTGGCTTCACTTGATCCTCACAACAGCTCGTGTATGAAGATATTGTCATCTCTGGTCTGCAGAGTAGGAAAGTAGGCCCAGGACACCGCACCTGCCCCAGAGTCTCAGAGTTAGAGCAGGTCGGCACTGGGATTCACACCCGCATCTGACTCCAGAGTATGGGGTAAAGACAGCGAGTCCAACTCAACTCAAAACACATGACTGTCACGTCCTGGGGAATCAAAGATGAAAGACAGTCCACACAGCCTCAAACAGCTCCCGGTCTAGGACAGGAGTTGACATACTTGTTCCGTAAAGGACCAGACGGGGAACAGTTTAGGTTTTGTAGGCCAAGAGGGTTGTCCTCAACCCTTCCAACCAGTTCTCCCCAAAAGACTACTAGTCTACTGTACAGTCATATTTTACATTTTAAAAATGTAAAAAATGGCCAGGCACAGTGGCTCAGGCTTATAATCCCAGCACTTTGGGAGGCCGATGCAGGAGGATCATTTGAGCCCAGCAGTTCAAGGTCATCGTGAGCTGTGATTGTACCACTGTACTACAGCCTGGGTGAGACAGCGAGACCCCGTCTCTTTAAAAAGATAAATGAATAAATAAATAAAATGTAAAAAACACTCTTAGCTCTCAGGCCATACAAAACCACATGGAGGGATGAATTTGGCTTGCCAGCCCATGCTCTGGTGAGAAAGACAGCCAGACAGACACTGTTAGCGCAAAACCACACGTGAAACAGTGGCAGTGAGCCCAGTGCACTGGGAGCAGAGAGGAGGGAAATTTCCCCCTCCCAAGAAGGACCTAGCACCGTGCCCATCACACAGAAGGTACCTGATTACTCACTCAACATTCAAGCAATGTTTACCGAATACCTGCTGTTTGCCAGGAGTTCTAAGGGAAGGGGATACACGGAACTCGGATTCCAGTGGAGGGAAGGAAGCAATAAACGAATAATGAATGAATGGGGGTGGTGAATCACAGGGGTGCGTGTCAACAAACTCTGCAGAAAGAGTTGAGGCCAGAATTAGCCAGAGGAAGGACAACACTGTGGTCACCAGGAGCAGATGATAAGGCAGCTTGAGATGTGAGAACGTGGTGTAAGAGAGTAGCAGACGGCATGCACACAGCCAGCAAGACCTGAAGCATCACGTGGAAAGCAGGAAACAGCAGGAGGTGAAGGTGGATGGGGCTGGTCGGGGCGGGGTGGTCCAGCACCCTATGAGCAAACGTGGAGAGGAAGTGGGTCTTTAGTCTGGTGATGTGTCAAATTCTCACACAAGGAAGCAACACTATATAAAACCTTTACGTTACTGGTGCCTCGTAATAAGCCCATTTAACTTACAGATGGTCAGGCAAAAGAGATGAGAAATAATAATAATGACCCCCAATCTCCTTCCTTGAGTATATGCCCCAGAGCAAGACTGGACTGGGGGTTTTTTCTTTTTTTTTCTGACACAGGGTCTTGCTCTGTCACCTGGGCTAGAGTACAGTGGCATCATCGTAGCTCACCGCAACCTCAAACTCCTGGACTCAAGCGATCCTCCTGCCTCAGCCTCCTGAGCAGCTGGGACTACAGGTGCATGCCACCACACCCAGCTGACTTTTCTGTTTTTAGTAGAGACGGGGGTCTCACTCTCGCTCAGGCTGGTCTCAAACTCCTGGCCTCAAGTGATCCTCCCACCTTGGCCTCCCAAAGTGTCAGGATTACAGGCGAGAGCCACCGCGCCCCGAGTGGACTGGCAATCTTGAATCTGGTGTTCCCTCAGTGTTTTCGTTCATTTCGTAAACACTCAGTGTTCACTAACCACGATTTCCAGCTTTAGTTTCTTTGGCTTGACGAAGAATTTAAAAGACACTTATGAGATAATCTGAGTGTACAACTCTAGATTTTTACAATTTCTCACAACATTTTATACTTTTAACACAATTTAATGCCATGTGCTTTTAAACTAATATACCACCACTGAGATTTTCCAAAGCATTCAAATCATTTCTATAGAAACAACCCTCTTTAATAAGTTCCACAGGGCTTGACTTTAACCAATTTTTGTATTTCATTAGACTCTGTCATTATAACAATAAGCAGAACTGGTACCAAAAGGGCTGCATGGAGAAAAACTACTGACTTCTGCAAAGCACTCAACAGATGGTGACGAGCTGCACCTACCCTCAATTGCCGTGGGGACTTCTGGATTTTCCTAACTCGAGTGTCTCACTGTCTACGTGAGCATCTAGCAGTGGCTCCTTGCCATAAAACATGATGCCAGGGCCCTGGCACGCTAGAGTGAGACCCGCTAGACTCAAGTTTCATCACGCCTTGGGGCTTTGATCAATATATCTACAGAGAAGCTGGGGAATATCCCCTAACGCAAAGAGGTAGATAATTAGAAACGGTAAGGACAGCAGCTATAGTAACTGGCAGAACTTTTACTGATGGGACCGCTCTCCTTGCTCCACTAGGGGGCAGCCGCCAAAATGCGCGCAGATTCTCTGCTCTTTCCGGCCAGCTTAGGAAGGCATCACTGGAAGATCGTAAATTCAACGTGGCCCTCAGCGCCAAGGAACTTTTCCTTCACCTGCGCCTGCCCCAACTTCCCCAAACATAAATTGACACATTGTCTTTGGTTTTATTACTCAAATTTACGCTGCTGGCCTGACCCAAACGATCACACCTGTGTTCGGATCTTCTTGACCCACATGCAAGTTTTCTCTTAAACCTAACTCAAAGAGGAGCATATGTTTTCATTCTTATTAAATAATAATTTCCTGTGTATATGTGTGTATGTCACCAGGACAGAGGATGCAATCGTAAGGATTATAGTGAAAGGACTGGCAGTGATTCTTTCTGGGGACGTAGGGGGATTTATCCCTTTCTCTAGCATATATATTTTCTAAATTATTCACATCAGTTTTTTGCAATAAGCATGAGGTTGCTTTTCTGATAAGAAAAAAATAATAATTTAAATTAGCTCAATTTTTTAAGTGACCAGGCCCAGATTTTTCCCTTCTACAACTCAGTCCTGATTTACGATCAGTTAATTTGAACTCTGCCTCTCTCCGTCCATCTGCTCTGCCTCAACAAAAACCCCTTTAACCCACTGTGTTTGCAGAGCAGTTTCTGAGTAACCCTGCAGGCCAGTCCTTCCTGCAAACACTCCTACTGTACCTGACTGTCCGTCAGCCTGCAGGTCTCCAGCCCCACCCCAGGAGGACAACAGCGGGCGGGCGCCAGGCAACCATGAGGTCACCTGGATTCCTTAGCCACCCTGCATTCATTAGTATGTCAGTGTTTTGGGGGGAAGAGCCTCAGATTTGCAGTTTTAACAAAGGAAGACTCCCAGACGCTCTCACTGTATTGAACAAAAGTAGGGTGCTGACCATAAATTTGGACTTCCTGCCCCACGCTGCCATTTTTCGGTGATCAAAAATATGCAGTTTGGGCCTGCATGCTGGACATGTGGGGGTGGATGTTGAGTAAGAAAATACAAGTAAAACCAGAAGAATAAGAAGGAGAAAAAGCAGTAGGAAGAAAAAAGAACAGAAAGCAGATACTGATATTTATGTTCTAGCATTTACTGGAAGTCGGTCACCAGGCAGGCACTAGAATTGGCCGTCGGTATCTGAATGAAATGTCCCTATGTAAGGAGCTCACCAGGTTGGTAGGGAGGAAGAGGGAGGAGAGAAAAGAGGGACCAAAGTCAGAAGTGAGGAACAGCCGAGCATCTGGTGGCTGAAAATGGCTCCCAGAATGAAAAAACTCTTAAGATTGTGGAAGGCAGCTAAAACACATGATTTCTAACCTCAAATCAACCAGTGTTCTGAATGTTCTATAAACAGAAGAACAAGATACACAGAAGCAATCTGACAGTGTCTTGTCTTCCCAACAAAGTAACAAAGGAGAAAAAAAAAATAGCACATTTATAGTGATTATTACTGATCTCAAAAGAGAGCAGGAACTCACCCTCCATCCATCTGACAGGAAGAAAACACTCCCCCAACACTCCACTGGAAGTTAGTAGGCACACTTCCCAAGCTCACCTATTCTTTTTTTCTCACCTTCCCCAGAGACTTGTAAGGTGGAAAAAGGACCAGCTTCCTGGGTGTGTGCCCCCATGTGTCACAGGCCCCCCTGCTTGGGTGAATGCTTCACTGCTGTCATCTTAAAACTTTTAACAATTATTGGACAAGGAGCCCAGCATTTTCATTTTGCACTGGGCCCCACAAATTACGTAGCTGCTCCAGAAGGGAAGTAAAAACACCAGTACCAACTTCTTTATAGAGTGCATAGGAAAACATGGCCCTGTCCTAAGAACTGAAGCCACAGAACTCTGAACTTTCCTCCTGAGACCTCTCCTCTCTTCTGAATTCTGTGACATCCCCATTTCCAACATCTAGGCTCTAAGATTTTTCAGTTCATCTGCAGTGACTCGA